TTTTTTTTTAAAATATATATATATATATATAAATATATTGAAAAGAATGTCGTTTTTAACGTTGAAAAACGTCAAAAACGACATTCTTACGTCATTATTTTTGCACCAACCTAATATATATATATATATATATAAACTTTTCTTTTAAACAAAATGACAGGAAGAATTAATTAATTTTTTATTTAGTTTAATTTTTTATCCTTACGTTTTTCTGTTTTGTAGGAAATAAAAGGGTACAGAATTGTTCCATAATTTTCATTGTACCAAGCGCTTTCGGCCACTTCTTTAGTCAGTTTCAAAAGCTTTTGTTTTTGGTGTTGTTAGTTTTTCTTCCTGTTTTGACTATAAATTGTATTTTATTTTTGTCGAGTGCGGCTGGAATTCGCGTAAGCGTCTTTCTATTTTTTTGAAAAAACTTTTATCGCTCCTTTTCACTGTTAAATAAGGTGAGATTGATAGTAGGAGAGATATGTTTAATGTACAGGGCCTCTATAATAGTAATGTGATTTGTATAGTGTCTTGACCACTTCTTGTAAAGAATAGTTCTTGTAAATTGTGGGTCAGTAGATGTTTTTTTATAGCACTTTGATCTGGTAAGTGACACGTGAGGCCTCTACACAAGGACGTGGTAGTAGGTCTGATATAGGTAATAGGTTTGGGATAATAAACACGAATATTGTATTGGGCAGTAAAATTGTTACACAATATTGGTCATCAGTAGTTTAGATTTGATGGGTTGTTTGATTAGTGACCACACATACACAAACACACATACACACACATTTACACACACACACATATATATATATATATATATATATATATATATATATATATATATATATATATATATATTCTAAAGAATTAATGTATTTAATTTTAATCCGACACTTTTATTATCTACTAAGCAAAAAAAAAAAAGAAGTAACACACACACACATATATATATATATATATATATATATATATATATATATATTGATTATTGAATTGATTTGAGTTTGTGACCCTGGGTTCCACGCTTTTGCGATCGTCAAAGTATTTAGACACTGTTTGTCCAGAAAAGTAAGCTCTTGTTTGAAAACAAGAAAAATTGTCTGACTATCGCAAAAGCGTGAAACCCAGGGTCACAAACTCACATCAATCCAATCAAATATGTTAGCTCTATCTCTGATATTGAGCGCTTTCTAATAAGTACCGCGCATATAATATATAAATAATATATATATTACATTATGAAAATTTCTCCGATTTAATCGGTAGACAAGACAATATTTATGAATAAAAATGACAATAGGAAAACTGGTAATTGCTGACGCGTTTCGTCCAATGTGGACTTTATCAAAGCAAAATACGAAAATGAAATTAAATGAACAAAGTAACTAATAAAAAACAAAAAACAGAATGTACCTAGCAACTGGAATGTAGAGAAACGCTATTTTCATATTTTTTTAACTGAAAAATAACGTCAGAGATTGTCATATGGAGAATATTGTCATTATATCTGTGTTGATGTATTCAACCATTTTCTTTTCGATTTTATGAATCTGTTGTGCATATTTGTTTGTAAGGCTTTTTCCCTATTTCACCTTTCTTAACAAAATTAATGCTCTTTCTTTGTTCATTTAATTTCATTTTCGTATTTTGCTTTGATAAAATCCACATTGGACGAAACGCGTCAGCAAATTACCAGTTTTCCTATTGCCATTTTTATTCATAAATATTACATTATATATATATATATATATATATATATATATATATATATATATATATTTATATATATATATACATTTCTTCACACACATATATATATATATATATATATATATATGAATTATTCACACAAAAACTAATGCAAAGGTTAATGTTTTAAATGGCGAGACATCCATCATCGCAAACAATTCAAATAGTATACAAAAACCTCCAAATCCGTTATGAATGAATTGATCCTTGTTTATATAAATTTCTGCCGTATTAGTTGTTATTTTTACTACAAGCTTTCGTCTGTTCCTACAGACATCTTCAGGTATAAAATAGATGTTGTTCTTGTTTTTTTCTCTTAGTAATAAGAGGACAACGAAAATATATGTGTTGTTGTATCCGAAAATGCTATTGAAATGAGTTATTGGTTTTGGAACGCGCCAAAGCAACGCTGAGTTTGATTTTAAATTTTTTAAAGTTTGTGCGTTCATACAAAATATGGTGATGAACAAATTTTTTTACTGGTAAATTTTTATGTCAAAGCGGCATGAACTATATTGTAGGAACAGACGAAAGCTTGTAGTAAAAATAACAACTAATACGGCAGAAATTTATATAAACAAGGATCAATTCATTCATAACGGATTTGGAGGTTTTTGTATACTATTTGAATTGTTTGCGATGATGGATGTCTCGCCATTTAAAAATATGTTTAACCTTTGCATTAGTTTTGTGTGAATAATTCATGTATTTGTAAATTGATTGCACGTTTATTGTAATATATATATATATATATATATATATATATATATATATATATATATATATATCTAGTAAAAAACAAATAATATAATACTTCATCCACTTGTAAAAATATTAAAGATAATGGAAACTTTAATAATAAAAAAAAAAAAAGCCAACTCTTAACAATATTAACTACGAACAAGGCCACAATGGCCAACTGTATTCGTAAATTAAAAACATCTCTACGGCACACTAAAACATACAAAACATTTGGACAGTTTTTACACACTTTTGTCCAGAAAAAAAGCTTTTGTTCGAACGCAAGAAAAATTAAATAAAAAAAATACCGTGTCTGCCGTTTTTAATGAAATATCCTGCATATATATATATATATATATATATATATATATATATATATATATATATATATATATATAATGAATCACCCACATTTCTGTCGTGTTCCATTTGTTAAGAGAAAGTTTCACTCGGCTTTTTTTTTTCCGAGAGCTGCAACACAAATCCTCACATGGATGCTTCTCAGAATACGACAATCTTGACCTCTTCAAGTCTTCGAGTCAGTCGTATCTATCGACACGACACTCATAATCTTTGCTTCTTTCTAGCTTCTCTGACATTCAAACAACACTTCTCTTTCAGTAACGCTCTACACAAATGGTTCTTGTGTCTTATAACGAGTGAATATTTGTGTAAGAAAAAAAATATATTGAGATCACTGATTCTCTAGTTGGCCATAACGGCTCCTTGCGTGTGGTATGAACCCTTAAGTTAAGTGTTCAGTTGAAATAATTTTAACAGGGCAATAAGAGGTTTTCCTCCTTTAGTTGCAACAAATCGCAATATACAAATTTTTATATATTTCTCTTTTCAGATGAATTCCTAGCAAATCGCTGCAATTGAAATATGTGCATGGTGCAAGCCAACTTCCTGTTCCATTTATAGTCATGTCGCTTACTTCCGGTGATTGGCTCCAAGTTGGAATGTCTGCCACCCCCCCACCCCAACCAAACTTATAAACAGACCGTACAGATGAATGCTGGGATTACTTCCTAGCTAACAAGACTTCTTGGTCTCATCCGCCATATTTCAGTTCTTTCTTGTCTGGAAGTCAGAATACTGCAATCACTTGTCTGCATCCTCTTTTATGTTAAATACCTTTTTTTGTGAACTTTTAAATTATTATTCTTGCTTTGCCTGCTTTCGTCTTGAATATATATATATACTTTTTTTTTCTTTTCTTTTTTTGATGATGCACAATGGAGTAGTGGATAGCGGCTCGGAATGAGGAGAGCCGTGTTTGAATTCCAGTCGAATCCATTACATTCACTTACGTGCTAATACCCTTGGGAAAGGTATGAATCCTCTTCTTCGCTCCCCAGCTATGGGTAAATAGCAGGACAGACCGGATCCTATAGACTTGGATGGCATCTGGTCTAGGAGAGGGACAATTCTAAATTCAAAACCTGTGGAGGGTGGTTTGGGTACCTTATGGTACGTAGTGCACCAGGTCTTTGCATTCAACCCTTCAAAAAGTGTGATTTGTTCTGCATAAAGCCTTCACCACAATAATCAAATCATATGTGCTGGTGTCTGGCTGTCGGTTCCTAGGAACTGAGCTGCTTGACTCTCATACGTCGAATACAACGGGAGAGTCCACCTTATATATGTGCTGAACAAACAAAACCGTATTTTTGATTTAAGGTAACATTTCCGGCCAACACCTCATCAGTGCCTTGAAACGCGGATTGCACAAACATGTGACTTTTAATGTTGAAAAGAGTATTGTTACTCGCAATACACGTCTAAAAGAGATTAGACTGGCTATTAAAAATAATTTTTAAACTTGTTTTAAAAATCGTAGAAAATTATTACTCATTATACGAAGAAAATAATTCGTAAATAATTAGAAGGTGCTATAATTACTGTTTTCCATTTGTTAATTAAATAAAATGAGGTTTTGGATTCTAATCACCCGCCCCTGTGTCGTGAATATAATTACTTAGGGCAATTTTAGATAGACAGGCTGGAATAATTATGGTTTTTGCTACCTTTATATTCATCAAGACAATTGTTCCACATCCGTGTTCGATTAAATCTGTTTGGTTCATTGTCGGAGTAAGAAGGCCTGATTTTCTCTTATATATCTTGTCAGCCAAACCAGGATAATTCACTGACTTCATCTTCATCGAAAAATTATCATAAAACCCTACTCAATTCATTTTAAGACGCAAGAGAAATAAATAAGTAACAACAAAAATTGCCTAAAAGAAAGCTAAGCAAAGTATTAAGAAACATGAAAATTTCGTTAGAAACTGATATGTCCCAGAAAGGGATATATTTGTTCGAAGTAGCAAGGTGGTTGTTGACTACTGTAACCGGGTAGAACAATCTAGCAGGTAACCGTAATGGACTGGTCCTCGTCGTAGTGGTAGGCAATAGGCGAAGACTATAGGCGGAGACAATAGGCGTCGTTTTGTACCTCCACATCAGTCTGTATTTATGGCTGATACCAGCCAATCATATTACTGTGAAGGGGAACCCAGGTGTATGCATATTCATTATTTCAGAAACAAAGAAAAGAGTGCTGAAATGTTACGTGATATCTGTCCTCTTCTATGCTTGTGAATGCTGAGTAGTATCCCAACAAAGGAAGCGGAGACATGAAGCGACAAAATTGTGGCTGTGCTGAGAATATTATTGGCTATACGAAGAAGTTTTAAGAAAAATGGAAAGAAAAATGTCGCTTATGCTTAGAATCCTAAAGAGATGAAATTTCTAGGATGCATAATGAAATAAAAGGCTTTGGAAAATTAGATACTCACAGAACATGTTGTCGACAATAGGGACAGAGAAAACCAACGAATAATCTTTCTAATGAATCCTATCTGTTGCCTAAAAACTTTTATTCATCTGTGATGAGATTGTCTTAGCATTCACTACTATATATTCGGACCGATATTGCATAACAATTCAGTATACCTTTCTTTGATTCTAACGAAATTTTCCTATTTGTTAATACTTTGCTTAGATTTTGGAAGACATCTTTCGCTAATCTACTGCGCCTTCGAATTTCGAATCAGTATCATCCTCGTCATCGCTTTTCCACGATATTAGTTACGACTAATACTTTAAAAGAGAGGCTTTCTTGTCATAATTCGTTCCTGGCGTGAGTAAAATCTGTTTAGCTTGTGGCATGTTTTCTCATGTAACAATAGACCAGTTTTTGCTGGGTGGGTAATATTACGATGTATGCGTGTACTTGTATGCTTTTTGTAAAGATTATTTGATTATGTATATCAGTACTTTTCTGTTTGTTTTACTTTGACTTGTACTAAGGCAACCTTGGAAAAGAAGAAGAGAAGAAGTCATAGAAATAAGACGATAGGAAGAAAGGTGGATTTGGAATGGAAAATGGTGGAAAATAAAGAGAAAGAAGGGAAGATTAAAGGGTGGAAAAGAAAGAGAAGATAAAAGGGGCGAGAAAGAAAGAGGAAGAAGAGAAGATTAAAGGGTGGAAAGGAAAGATGTAGAAGATGGAATTAAAGAGTAGAAAAGAAAGAGTAAGAAGTGAAGATTAAAGGGTGGAAAAGAAAGAGGAAGATGTGAAGATAAAAAGGTGAAAAAGAAAGAGGAAGAAAAGAAGATTAATGAGTAGAAAATAAAGAGGAAGAAGAGAAGATTAAAGGGTGGAAAAGAAAGAGGGAGAAGTGGATTGAATGGTGGAAAAGAAAGAGGGAATAGAGAAGTTTAAAGGGTGGAAAAGAAAGAGGGAGAAGTGGATTGAATGGTGGAAAAGAAAGAGGGAATAGAGAATGAAGAGTAAGCGTTCTCAAAGCAAATTTGTGGCTTTCACAACACAAAGAAAGAAAATCACTTGTAACGCGTCAGGAAAATAACTCAATAACGCCGTAGCCAAAACTGCCGGAATTTTCCTTTTGGACAATATTCTACAACACCAACTGCTTTTATCGGCAGAACCTATTTTTTCCATTCGTCGACAGCCGGGATAGGATGCTCCGTAATTTGCATATTAATACACTCTTATAGCGACTCCTGCGACGGACTTGTTTCTTTTCGTCACAGAATACACGCGACGCGCTGTCGCTTGGGTTGACGAGGTAAAATTATAAGAGTTTTGCTGACTACTTTTGGGCAATCCCTCCCCGGCAGATCGCACACAAAACACGAACTTTTTTCCGGGGTACTTGATTATCTCGTTCACTACAGAGAAGTTTAAAGGGTGGAAAAGAAAGAGGGCGAAGTGGATTGAATGGTGGAAAAGAAAGAGGGAATAGAGAAGTTTAAAGGGTGGAAAAGAAAGAGGGAGAAGTGGATTGAATGGTGGAAAAGAAAGAGGGAATAGAGAAGTTTAAAGGGTGGAAAAGAAAGAGGGAGAAGTGGATTGAATGGTGGAAAAGAAAGAGGAATAGAGAAGTTTAAAGGGTGGAAAAGAAAGAGGGAGAAGTGGATTGAATGGTGAAAAAGGAGAATAGAAAGTTTAAAGGAAAAAAGAAAGAGGAAAGTGGATAATGGTGGAAAAGAAAGAAATAGTGGAAAAGAAAAAGGGCGAAGTGGATTGAATGGTGGAAAAGAAAGAGGAATAGAGAAGTTTAAAGGGTGGAAAAAAAGAGGGCGAAGTGGATTGAATGGTGGAAAAGAAAGAGGAATAGGAATAGAAAATAAAAAGAAAGAAAGGGATTGAATGGTTGGAAAAGAATAGAGAAGGGTGGAAAAGAAAGAGGATTGAATGGTGGAAAAGAAAGAGGGAATAGAGAAGTTTAAAGGGTGGAAAAGAAAGAAAGGATTGAATGGAAGTGGAAAAAGAAATGGTGGAAAAGAAAGAGGAATAGAGAAATGGTGGAAAAGAAAAGAAAAGAAAGAAAGGGTGGAAAAGAAAGGGCGAAGTGGATTGAATGGTGGAAAAGAAAGAGGAATAGAGAAGTTTAAAGGGTGGAAAAGAAAGAGAGAGAAAAGAAGATTAATGTAGGAAGAAAGAAGTAAGTTAAAAACCCGAAAACGTAAGAACTTCATACAAATTTAACAAAAGAAAGAACAAAACAGGCAAATAAACAAGGAAAGAAAACGATTGCAAGCAAAAATGCCATAGAAAGAGAAAGAGAAAAGCAAACGAGAAAATGAAAGAGTGAAAGAGAAAGACATAAAGAAAGTAGATCAGACCGAATGAATGAAAGAGATTAGAATTAAGTGAAGAAATCCAGAATGTGAATGAATTAATGGAGACGATTAATAAATAAGAGAAAAAAAAAGAATGAAGAAAAAATAACCGAAATAAGGAAGAACAAGAAAATGGAAAAGTCGAAACGAGAAAAGTGTAACAGTTGGTAGTGGGAGTCTAAGAAGAAAATGTTAGAATAAAAGAAAGTGTAAGTGAGAAATTTCATATGAATTTCATGAAAGAAAGAAAAGAAAGAAAGAAAGAAATGAAAAGCAAAGAAAGAAAGAAAGAAAGAAAGAAAGAAAGAAAGAAAGAAAGAAAGAAAGAAAGAAAGAAATGGATGGTAAAAAGGAGCAAAAATGGATCGAAAAAAAAAAAAAACGGGTCGGATTAAAAACGAATGAAGAGAAAGAAAGAAAGAAAGAAAGAAAGAAAGAAAGAAAGAAAGAAAGAAAGAAAGAAAGAAATGCACAAAAATGTGAAGCGGATTGAAGAAAAAGAAAAGAAATTGATGGAAGAAAACAGAAAAGCAGACTGAAGAAAAAAAAAATAAACGCTCGAAGAACAAAAAGAAAGAAGCGGATGAAGAAAGTAAGAAACGGATGGAAGGAAAAAGAAAGAAAGAAAGAAACAGATGAAGACTAGAAGAAAAAAATGGATGAAGAAAAAAAAAGAAAGGAAACGACAAAAAACAGGAAAAACGGGTCGGAGAAAAAATTGATAACGTAAAAAGAAAGGAACGATTGAAAAAAAAGGAAACAGATCGAAGAAAAAAGGAAAGCCCTGAATGAAGAAAAGTAAAGAAACAGATCTAAGGAAAAGAAAGAAACAAATGAAGACAGAAAGAAAGAAATGGACGAAGGAAACATACTGAAAAACAAAAAGAATGAAACGGGTTGGAAAAAATCGAATGAAGAAAAAAACAGAAGCTGATCGAAGAAAAAACAAAGAAATGAAAAGAAGGGGATGAAGTAAAAAGATTGAAAAAGAAAATGAAAGAAACTGATCGAAGAATGAAAAGGACAGAAGAAGAAGAAAAGAAAGAAATGAATGTAGGAAAAAGAAGGAACCAGATCGTAGAAAAAAGAAACAAAGGAAGCGATTGAAAAAAAAGAAAGAAACTAATCAAAGAAAAACGAAAGAAAGAAAGAAAGAAAGAAAGAAAGAAAGGGTAAAGAAAGAAAGCGCGAAATGTAGTCAAATAAATAAATAAATGAAAAAGAATAACAAAAAACAAATTAACTAAAAAAAGAACGAGGTATAAGGATAAACGAAAATCAGTTGGAATGACTGATAAATTTGAATGACCAAAATAAAGGACAAAAAAGAGGAGGTCGTTCAAAATGAACTCGAAAAGATACGTTCAAGATATTAGAAAGAGAGAAAAAAGAAAAGGAAAAAAAAAACGTCAGTAAATACGACGATAGAGACGCATATTTTCTTACATTAGAAACTTATCAGCTTTAAGCAAACAGGTGCGCAGTTACCGTGCCATGTTGATCATTTGGGTGCCACAGGTGTGCGTCTCCATTTTTCAACAGGAATCGTATGTTGCGTGAGACGTGCTAGTTTCCAGTGCAAGATATCTTAAATTTAGTAATCTGATCGGTTATCTTCTTCTTCTTCTTCTTCTTCTTCTTCTTCTTCTTCTTCTTCTTCTTCTATGTACCGTGTCCCTTCAAGACGTGGAAGATAACGGCTCTCCACAACTTCCTATGTTTTATAGCTCTTAAGTTTGTCTATTTGCTTCCCCTCCTAATTCCTGTTCTGTCAACCATTTACACAAGCTGGTTTCGTAGCTTATTCGTTGATTTTCTATACCTCTCCTGCCTTCAATGACCTGTGAGTGTCAAATTTTCCAAGCACTCTTTCCACATTACGTTCCCTAGAAATTTCATCTGTTGCTTCCTTATGTTGAATATAAGTGTGCTTTTTGTGTCCATTTTCTCTAAAACTGCGTCATTGCTCATATGTTCTTTCTATGGTATTCTCAGCATCTTTCTGTAGAGCCATATTCATGTTGGCCCAAGTGTCTTCTTAATCTGTGAGGAGATTGTCCATCATTCCCTATGATAGTAGACAGCCGATATTACACAATAGTTCTTTACTCTTTTCTTTGTTTCGAATCCCAATCAAGTTCCGTATACTTACTGACATGCTAATACCAATCCACCTCTTCTGCCCCCAGCTATGAGTGAAATAGCAGGAAAAACTAGGTTCTATAGCCTTGGGTGGCAATCAGTCTAGGGGAAAGAAACTCTGAATTCAAAACCACCTGCTGCTTTCTAGGTTCTGTCTCTTTAGAGAAAGGCTTGGAGGAGATAATTTCAAAAACAAATCCACATCTCATATCGTCTCGAAGAAACGAAGTCCGTCACCTACTTCAAGAAAATAATTGACTCCTCGGGCTTAGTTCAATGGTTCGAACAGACACAAGACTGTGGCACGGCACGGCGCCGTGTACCTCCCTGATTTCACACCATTCGCCCAGAGGTGTATCACCCACGCCACTTTAGACAACGAGTTAATTCTTTTAAATATTCGTTATCTGAAGCCCTTAACCTAGAGTGATGTGAAGCAATAGAAAAAAACAAAAAAAAAAACATTTTAGTCGGATTACCTATTGTACGAACGCATCTTTTTCTTGACGTAAGTTGCCAGCTTTCTGCTTTATCCGCAGGCGGCATCTTTGGACACATAATCCATCGTTGCAACTTCTGCTAAATGAAAAAGTCTGCATTTGGTCGTTAAAAAAATGGTTAAGATCTTTTTTTATACATTGCAAAAATACCAGTCGAGAAATTATCGTTCATGCCGATATTATGGGATATTTTCCTTCGAGAAGATCACAAAACAGTCTTTGTTGCCTCGATTATGTGAATTGTTTACGGCATAAACGCGTGAACAACAGCCTTAACACATCTGCTTTTCTTTTTTTTAATTTTTTTATGGCCTATTTTTTATTATATCACTATATTCCCATTAGCGACAGATCAGACGATACGTGGGACACGAGAAGAATTATAATGGATTTTTATGCAGTATTTAACGGTTTAATTTGACCGATTAGCATGTAAAAAGTTTGTTAAAAAGTCTCACGTTGGATATTATTTACATTATTCGGACTATTGTCCTTATCATTGTCGCCATATTTATCACAACGTTTCGGCCCGAGCGTACAACGGCCGAAACGTTGCGATAAATATGGCGAGAAAGATGAGGACAATATTCCGAATAATGTAAATAGTATACATAATACCTCATCTTAGAAATATAGACAGATACTGAAGGAATAGATAAATATGGCGACAAAGATGAGGAAAATAGTCCGAATAATGTAAATAGTGTACATAATACCTCATCTCAGAAATATAGACAAATACTGAAGGATCAGAATAATGTAACAAAATAGTCATCGACAAAATGTAAGGAAAATAGTCCGAATAATGTAAATAATGTACATAATACCTCATCTCAGAAATATAGACAGATACTGAAGGATCAGATAAACATGGCGACAAAGATGAGGAAAATAGTCCGAATAATGTAAATAGTGTACATAATACCATCTCAGAAATACCTCATCTCAGAAATATAGACAAATACTGAATAATGGATCAGATAAATATGGCGACAAAGATGAGGAAAATAGTCCGAATAATGTAAATAGTGTACATAATACCTCATCTCAGAAATATAGACAGATACTGAAGGATCAAACGTAAATAAATATGGCGACAAAGATGAGGAAAATAGTCCGAATAATGTAAATAATGTACATAATACCTCATCTCAGAAATATAGACAGATACTGAAGGAAACGTTGTAGATAAATATGGCGACAAAGATGAGGAAAATAGTCCGAATAATGTAAATAGTGTACATAATACCTCATCTCAGAAATATAGACAGATACTGAAAATAGATCAGATAAAAATATGGCGACAAAGATGAAAGGAAAATAGTCCGAATAATGTAAATAAATAGTGTACATAATACCTCATCTCAGAAATATAGACAGATACTGAAAGAAGAAACGTTGTAAATAATATGGCGACAAAGATGAGGAAAATAGTCCGAATAATGTAAATAATGTACATAAATCATCTCAGAAATATAGACAGATACTGAAGGGGCCGAAACGATAAAAATATGGCGACAAAGATGAGGAAAATAGTCCGAATAATGTAAATAGTGTACATAATACCTCATCTCAGAAATATAGACAGATACTGAAGGATCAGAAACGTTGTAATAAATATGGCGACAAAGATGAGGAAAATAGTCCGAATAATGTAAATAGTGTACATAATACCTCATCTCAGAAATATAGACAGATACTGAAGGGCCAGAACGTTGTCCGAATATGGCGACAAAGATGAGGAAAATAGTCCGAATAATGTAAATAATGTACATAATACCTCATCTCAGAAATATAGACAGATACTGAAGGAAACGTTGTAAATAATATGAATATGACAAAGATGAGGAAAATAGTCCGAATAATGTAAATAATGTACATAATACCTCATCTCAGAAATATAGACAGATACTGAAGGATCAAAACGTTGTAATAAATATGGCGACAAAGATGAGGAAAATAGTCCGAATAATGTAAATAGTGTACATAATACCTCATCTCAGAAATATAGACAGATACTGAAGGATCAGAAACGTTGTAATAAATATGGCGACAAAGATGAGGAAAATAGTCCGAATAATGTAAATAGTGTACATAATACCTCATCTCAGAAATATAGACAGATACTGAAGGATCAAATAAAATAAATGGCGACAAAGATGAGGAAAATAGTCCGAATAATGTAAATAGTGTACATAATACCTCATCTCAGAA